CTACACGGCACAGCAGGGTGAGGTGACCCAGGGTGCTGTGAGCCACAGGGAAGAGCTGTGGGCACATGTGTGGTCTCTGGGTGCCAGGACCAATGCACAGAGAGGCAGCAAGTTGCCCCCAAGATGGCCCCTTTACCCACGCCGCTCCAGATCTTTGGCTGCCCTCCCGAGCATCCCCTCTATGCAGTCTGTGGCAACTGCAAAGCCAGGAACACCCATCTTAAGTCACTTGAGACAGCCCATCTGTTCTGGACCCTTAGTCACTTAAGGAAACATGTCAGCCTTGTGACCAGTAACCCTGTTGCTTTGTGCTGCTTTGCCCCCCACGGATTTGTCACCCCACTTCCCCTGGGTAATGGAGACACAAAGGATTACTCAAAGCCCATCTCTTCTGAGCAGTGAGAAGCCCTGAAGCTGTTAACTTCCCTGGGACCCTCCAGTGAGAGGGATCCCTTCCCCAGGAAATTAATGCCAAATTGGGGTTCTCTTCCTGCATTTATTTCCTAGACCAGGAAGTTACAGGAAGAGACATAGGTGGGGTTATAGTTTAACAGTATAGGCTGGTAACTTTCAGTGAAACAAGCCAGATGACATCCCAGTAGACAATTAAGTGATCTTACAACAATTTCTCCTTATCTTTACATAATAATCAGTAACTAGTCTGTCCTTGAGCCAGCAACCTTGCTGTGCCACAAATCTTATCTTGCAAAAAAAAAAAAAAAGACTGGGGGAAATTTCCTGTCCTTGCAAGGTCAATATTTGAAACTGCAAGGCTTTGGAACACCAGGCCCTGTGAAGTACATTTGCTTTATAGTATATTCCACATAACCCACCACGACCTCAAGCGGGTTCCTCACTCAGGCTTTCTCCCCAAATCTGTGCAAGAGGAAGGGGGCCCTGAGCTTGGGGTTCCTTTTGGGGGTAATGAAAATGTTCTAAAATGGACTGTGGTGATGCCTGCACAGCCCTGTGAATATCTAATTAAATGGCATATGAACTGTATCTCATTAAAGTTTTTTTTTTTTTCCTTTTTGTCTTTTTTCGTGACCAGCAATGGGATCGCAACCCTCGGTGTCGTGCCCGCACTGCGCTCAACCAGTGAGTGGACCGGTCTCTAAATGGGATCTGAACCCTCAGCGGGAGAGCCGCCACGCTCCCAAGCGCCGCACTCTACTGAGTGCGTCACCGGGCCGGCCCTAAAGTTGTTTTTTAAAAACAGGACTAGGGGGCCCTAGCAGACCCTCCTGCCCCCCACAGTGTCCCCATGGCATGTGCGCCCGGGGCAGAGCCCTGCTGCCTGTGCTGGTGGACTGACTCGGAGCTGCCGAGGGTCTCTAGTAGGGCTTCAGGCCAAGCTGCAGCATTGGTCACTAGGATCTCCATGACAGGCAAGTCTCCAGGCTGTCTCTCTTTGTGTGTATATGTTGCTTCTTGTGAGCTTCACATGGAGGGGCTGCCCCTTCCCAGTCCTGCCTCTGACTTGCTGGGGATCTTGCTCTCACTGCAAAGCCATGCCAACACAGCGGGGACAGGGCAGGAGAGAGGAAGACCATCCAGGGTACCTCCCGCACACCCAGGGGAGCCTCAGACAGAGCCAACAAGGGGGGAGCTGTGCCGTGGGGGTGGCGGCCACAGTGGCCCAGGCCAGGCGAGGAAGGCACCTATGCAGGCAAGGGCACAGCGCCCATGCAGGTCTGAGTCATACACGAGGTACACACTGGGGTATTGGAAGCCAGCTTCCTACTGCAAAGGGAGGAAACGAGAATGCAATTGGATGACGGCAGGCAGCCCCCCTCCACATGGGGGAAACACACAATGTGAGAGGGAGGGCGGACAGGTGGTAGATGAAAGACAGGGTGATGGTATATTTAAGTGACAGCTTGGCCAGGCCACAGTACCCAGTTTCTGGCCAAACACCCAGATGTTTCTGTGAAGGTATTTTTAGGTGAGATTAATATATAAATCTGTAGACTCTGGGTAAAGCAGATGACCCTCCATGGCGTGGGTGGGCCTCATCTGATCAGCTGAAGGTCTTAAGAGAAAAGATTGAGGTCCCCGAGGAAGAAGGAATTCTGCCCCAGACAGTCTCTTCCGTGGGTCTCTAGCCAGCGGTCTGTCCTGCAGATATCAGACTTGCCAGCCCCACAATCACATAAGCCAATTCCTTAAAATGAATAACTCTCCCACCCCCCACCCCCATATATATACACACACACACATCTGTTATGGACCGGGTTGTGTCCTCCAAAATTCATGTTGAAGCCCTAACCCCCAGTAGGACTGTATTTGGAGATGGGGCCTATAAGAAGGTCATTAAGGTTAAATAAGGTCATAAGGGTGAGGCCCAGATCCAACTGGACTGGTGTCCTTACAAGAGGAGACCCAAGAGAGCACAGAGAAAAGGCCATGAGGACATAGTGAGAAGGTGGCCATCTATGAGCAAAGGAGAGAAGCCCCAGGAGAAGCCAAGCTTGACAACACTGTGACCTCAGAATCGTGGCCTCCAGAATTGAGAAAATAGTTTTGTTTAATCTGCTCAGTTTGTGGTACTTTGTAATGACAACCTGAGCAGACTGATACACATCCTAGTTCTGCTTCTGTGGAGAACCCCAATTCGATGGATCAATGGACAGATGGAAGGATGGACGAATGATGACAGGTAGACCGGGCAGACAGGCAGACATAAATGTACATGTTTCTGTGGACATGCACACATATCTCCATCTCCCTAGCTCTGTCAACTAAGACTGCCTGAACAGCAATGGCCTGGCCACACTTGGTTTTTTTTTGGCTGCAGGCTGTTCCAGGGATCAAACCCTGGATCCTGGTGTTCATCAGCATCATTCTCTAGCCGACTGAGCTAACCAGCCAGTCTGAGATCTTGGTTTCTAAACACTACCCTCCACTCAAAGGAACCGTTGCTCTCTGGGGAAAGGACAAGTGACTCTGAGTGGGGTCCTGTAAGGACGCTGTGGGCCTGAGGGTCAGACAGCAGCCCATGGTTGCAATGTGGTGAAGAGTGTCTCTGTGGTAGGAAATGCATGCTAATGGGGCACCAGGTCACCACGTGCTCTCAAACGGTTTGTGGGGGAAGGCTTTTTGTATTTGCGAGTTTGGGATTTCGTGGGGGGTGCAAAAAACAACACAATCCTCATCACAGCCCTCTGCGTTATTCCCATTTTACAGGTGGGTAAATGAAGGCTCAGGGCAGTTGTTTCCTGCCCGAGGTCACACACTGAGGGAGTGGCTGAGCCAAGTCTCCTGAGAAGAGCCACCTCCTGGGACTGACTGCCTGGCCTGAGGGGAAGGAGGCAGCAGGCAGGGCAGTGTGGCAAGGCCAGGGAGGGCCCCCCTCGGCGCAAGCCGCCCTGGCGCAGGGGCTCCGCGGCTCCCCGCAGCTCTGAGCAGAGGGCATCGCTGGGTCCTCACGACCCACTCCCACTGCAGAGCGCCTACAGGGAGGTGGCCACATCCCAGGCTTGCGGGTGAAGCAACAGCAGCAAGCGCTCCCCTGAAGCTGCCCACGTGCAGGACCGCAGCCGGACAGGGGCCCGCCCTGGGCCAGAACATAAGATGGAGCAGCCACTGTGGAGAACAGTCTGGCAGTTCTTCAGACAATTAAACAGTTACCACAAGACCCACAATTCCGCTCTGAGGCATCTAACCAAAGAGAAATGAAAACGTACAACCACACAAAACTTGTACATCTATAGCAGCAAAATTCCTTAACAGCTAAAAGGTGGACACCACCCTCATGTCCACCAGTGGACACATGGACAGATGAAATGTGGTCTACCCACACAATGGATTATTCAACCATAAAAATAACGAAGTTCTGACATATGCCCTCAGAACAGGCAGGTCCACAGAAACAGAAAGCAAATTAGTGATTGCCAGGATGGGGTCCAGGGTGAGGGTTTGAGGGGGGTGACAGCTAAAAGATACCAGGTTTCTTTTGGGGTGAAGAAGTTCTGAAATTGACGGTGGTTACAGCTGCACGACTCTGTGAATATACTAAAAACTCTGAGACTATACACTTTAAACGGGTGAATTGTATCCCATGAGCCTGCTTATACAGGGAAATAAAAATGATGCCAACTTTTAACACAAGCCCCTGGGAGTTCATGGGAGGCCAGGTCACACTTCCTCACTCCACACTGACAGGAGCCTGCACCTCTCTGCCTCCATAGTGGGAACCTGCTGCCTCCCTCATGGGATCCCAAGGGTGCTGCTAGCTCGGACCTCCCAGGTGAGTGCAGGGTTGGGTGGATTACACGAGCTGAGAGGGGAGGTGTGCCAGGCACACAGAGCAGCAGCTGCCCACCCAGATGTCGGATCTGATCCTGCCTCCACGCCACTGAGGATGAGAGGCAGCCACAGCCAGACCTGTCTAACCCAGATGCACACGCCATAAGCAACAGGCAGCTTTGCACAAAGTATAAACTTGCAGTAACACCCAAGACAGAAGCGTACGAAGTGGAAACTAAAGGGGTCCATCACACAGCCCAATAACACCCTGGTGGCTCTTCTTTGAGAATTCTCTTTCATGTGTGAACAGATTTTTCCCCCACAAAACAGACATAAAACACCAACACTGCAGTAGAGCGTGCACTGTCACTTCACATTCAGGAAATGTGCCTGATACACATGTCAGACGCAACACTTCTTTTGGAAGGACTCACAGAATTTTATTTGATGGATGCCCCATGGCATAGGTGACTGTCCTTGGGGCAGGTAGAGTTCTAAGTCTCCTAAGGTGGATTTTCTGACCCAAGGTCATCACAGCTGCAGGTGGTAGCTGTGGGGAAGGAGTGTTCTCTAGGACGCTGGCACTAAGGGAAAGTCCACCCTCTCTGTCCCTCAGCTCTTTCCTGACGCAGTGGGTTAAGGAGCCGTCAACGTTCAGTCTAGTGGGGGCACGCCCGATGATCCTGTCCCTTGTTTGACTCGGTGCAGACAAGGAGCAGCCAGCAGCAGCCCTTGCTCCTTGCCTGGCCCGACTGGCCGCGTCACTTCCTGCCCTCCAGGGACCACTTCTTCTTCTCTGACTCCTGGACATCGGCCACCTTTGCCCTGGCACCAGCTGGCTGCCGAGGCTTCCTCCTCCTCTTGCGAGCTGCTCTCTGGCCGCAGCCCCTGGGCTGCCCTTGGGGTGGGACACCCTCCACTCTGCCCAGCTGCACTGCGGGGACTGCCCCTGCACCCCTCCTCCGGCTCCTCTTCCTTTTGGTTTCTGAGCTTGGGTCAGGACTTGCATCCTCGTCAATCTTCCCTGGCAAGAGAACAAGTCGGCTTGAACTAAATGTCACGAACATACATGCCAATCCAGTCACCTCAATTCTGTAACCAAAAGTGCCAGCACTGGGGGTTCAGCCAATCAGGGGACCCAAATCCAGTGTGGACGTCAAGCTCCAGGACCACCTATGCTGGCTCATGACACCAGGGAAGGCTGACCAGGGAATTTGGGCCTTCAGCAAGACCAGCATGGTACACACCTGGAGCATTGTGGGGTGAGGAGCAAAGGCAGGAAAGAGGAAGCAAGCAGTACCAGGCTGGCTGAGGGTAGGGAGGTTGAAGGAGGTGACCCTGGCCAGAGGGCCAGCAGGCCTAACTCTACTTCCTGTGCAAGAGAGCCACGAAGACAGCGTTCATGTGGGTGCACGTGCCAGGCTGAGGTGGTCTGGCGCCTGCTTCCAGGGCCAGGTGGGAAATGATGTGCTCAAGCCTCCACGGCATGGGTGGCCTGGGCTGGAGGAAAGGGGTGGATCTGGCGGCCCTGCGAAGGGTGGATCCTCGGGAACGGGGGCTGGTTTAGCACAGGTGGGGTGGAAGGTGTCTCAGCTTGGGGCAGATCCACTGTCTCCCTCTTCTGCACCCGGTTCCAGCCCCAGCGCCCCAGCACCCTGCCTGGCACCATGTACACAGCCCAGCTCCACTGCAGGCAGCAGGCCCAGGGCAGCCCTCAGCAAGGGTGTCACGTGCCAACCACACTCGTGTGGCCACCGAGGCTGAGCAGAAGGACAGCCCCTGAAATCAAGGAGGAGTAGCAGGACTGGGAACTCTGGAGGATGTGGAAGAGGAGTGGACGGGATGCAAACCAAAGATGAAGGTCAGGAGAGGCCGCCCAGAGGACAGTGCGCAGACAGCAGGTGCCTTGCGTAAGGAAAGAGGGGAGGCGGGAGTGATCGACAGGCCGGAAGTCCTGAGGCTGTGACCATGCAGGGAATCTCCAGGACATGTGGACAGGGCATCTCCAGGATACCTGGATGGTGGTCACTTGGGACGGGGAACTTGCAGGAAAGCCTTGAGGAGAGACCTCCCAGGTGACTTTGAGCAAGGGAGACAGATGAGCAAGGGAAGAAAGCCCCTGACAGTGAATAAATCCTGCAGCCCTACCTTTCTTCTGCAACCGCGACTTAGACAAACGCTTCTTCATCCTCCTCTCCGGCCGCCCTCCATGCAGACTCCCGTAGGCTTCTTCAGGAATGTCATCCTCAGGGAAGATGCCTGAGAACCAAGGCAGAGTCAGGAGGCCCCAGCAGGCACCACCTCTACGCACTCTGTGCAAGAAAGAGGCCCAACAGGCCTAGCTAGAACACTAGCACCCAGCAGCAACTTGTTCATACCACCACAGCTGGAGCAACCACCTGAAGCCCAGCATACCTGCAAAAGCAGACTCTTGGAGCACCTACAATACATCAAGGTCTATTCCTTCCTTTTTTTTTAGGCATTGGCTGGAACAGGGATCAAACCCTGCACCTCAGTGTCATCAGCACGCCCATCAAGGTCTAGTTCTTAAAAATGCTTATGCTGGGAAGGGTCAAGAGAGAACTTTCTAGACAATGGTAATATTTTGTATCTCACCAGAGACTTGGATTACACAAGGCTATGCACTGGCCAAACACACCAGATACACACAATATTCATGTACCTCGCTGCACGCAAATTTTACCTCAAACATACTACTTTAGTTAGGACAGGCATGCTGAAGAACTGGGGGTGCGGCCTGATGCATGGACAGAGGCAGACACATGATGGAATGAGGACAGTAAAACATTAATGCTGGAGTTGAGGTGGTGGACGTGCAGGTATCCACTATAAGATGCTTTCAGCTGTGCCACAGGTTTGAAATTCTTCATAATGAAATGGTGGGGAAATGCTTACACCCCATTATAAATCTCCTAGGAAAGCATCTTCCAGATAACCCACACCAGTCCCACCAGCCACGTGCTGCACAGTGGGGATGCTCACTGCAAAGCAGACCGGCCACAGCAGCACACGTCCCAAACACCACAGGGGCTCTGACGGACGCTCGAGTCTGAGACCCACTCAGCATAAACTGCAACAGCGAGCTGGAGAATCCCTCAGCCCTGCCTCCCCCTCCCACATAAATGCCACCAGCCTCTGCAGAGACTTCGCTGTGCTGTGAGGGAACTGATCCACTCCACCCCCATGACAGTGGAAGCCCTCCTAAGCTGGGTGGCTGCTCTCGGTGCCCAGCCCAATCCTTACCTTCTGCCAGGTTCTGCAACCTGAAAGAATAAGACAGACACTGTCAGTTACCACGGCTGTGGTTTCTGCAGGAGGAAGGATGCTGCATCCACAGGGGCCTTCAGAACCTAGTAAGGGGCTACCCTGGAGGCTCAGAGGGACCCTGGGACACATGGCCGTTGGTGAAATCTGCCTCCCTTGGGGAGCTCAAAAGACCTCTTGCCTGGCTGAGGCCGCTGGCAAGGTGCTGAGGCAAGGAGCAGGTGCTGGGGTGCATGAGGAAAGCGCCACCCCACGGGAAGTGGGAAGGATGGTGCCAGCCACCTTCAGAGACACTCACTTGCGGATCACCTTGTAGAGACGCTTCCGGTTCTGAGAAGGGGTGTTCTGCCGGCTAGCCATTTCAAACAGTCTGTTTCCAACTGCCTCATAGTCAAACTGTTTCAAAAAGAGACATGCTAAGGAGGTGTGAAGACTCAGGCACCTTCCATGTGCTCTGAGCATGTGAACCCTCTGGACTGAGAAAGCACCTGGGCCACCATGAGGATTCTCTACTCCAACCTTCCTCCACTCAGCAGTGCTGCCGCACAGAGACACAACAAGATCAACAAGATCATTTATGCATCCTGTTTGCCTGAAGTCGTAGATCCCATTTGCTGAGCTCTGACTCTGAGCTGAGATAACCTTCCTCCACTCAGCAGTGCTGCCGCACAGAGACACAACAAGATCAACAAGATCATTTACGCATCCTGTTTGCCTGAAGTCGTAGATCCCATTTGCTGAGCTCTGACTCTGAGCTGAGATCCAACCACCCAGCACAGCCACCTCATTTGTGCTCAGCACCCAGTGAGGAAGTTGGAGCAGATGTGGAAGGCTGCCCGCTTGTCCAGGGTGAAAGGACAGCCCTATGGCGGCACCAGGCCCAGAGAGCGTGGTTTGCCTCTGGGCCCTGCCCCAGCCTCGCTCAGTGACCCTGCACTCCTGCGGACAAGCAGGGTCTGGACACCTGTCCTTCCTCCAAAGCTGACCTTTGTGAAGGCCAGTCTCCACATTGACAGCTGCCACCCTCCCTCGTATGATGCCCTTCCCCTTCCAGAGCCTGAAGCAGAGCAGGAGGGCAGAAGACAGCCATAGGTCTGGGACACCCACCTGCAGCACAGGCCCTGCGCCATCCCCATCGTCGTCCGCCTGCGCCTCATCCCTCTCAGGTGCAGTCCTGCGGATAGAGCCTGGAGCAAAAGGGACCCCGTGAACTCAAAGGCCTGCACCAGGCGTATGCAAGGCCCAACACAAAGTCCTGGTCAGAGGATGGGCACAGGCTGGGAAAAGCACCAAGCTGCCTCATATGAGGGCAGCAGTGTCACTGCAGGCCTGGAAGTGAGGGGCCATGTCCCGGGAAGGTGGCGCCAACCCAGCCCCTAGAGAGTGACTGAGAGAAACACCTCAGGCAGAGAAGGTAGCAAGGAAGAGGGCAGCAGTGGCCAGCACAGGGTGGGCCCAGCCCAGGAAACAGCAGGAGACGGCACTTCAGGCTGGGTGCTCCGACATTGATGGCACTCTCTGTGAGGAAAGTTTCTGGATGGCAGGCAGCTGTGAGGGGAGGCATGCAGCAAGAATGCTGATGGTTACTGGGAGCGAGGGGACCAGGGAGGGACAGGGATGACACATACAGGATGGCCAGAGATAGCCCTGGGGTAGGGTGGCTTCTGACTGGTAAGAAAGCCCAGGGGCACACAGCAATGGCCCCAAGAGGAGGCGGAAGGGAGCCCTGGGATGGTCGCTGAGGTGCCCTCTACAGCAATAGGACACAATGCTCGGGAAACAGACCACCTGGCGGAGTCAGACACTGGCCTGCAGTACCAAGCCTGGAAGCCAGGAGGACCCCACCTGGACCCCACCGCTGCCAGAGCACCACAGCCCCATCCCAAAGCCCCTCAGTGGGACCCGTCTGCAGTAGCATGTTCCCCTCCTTCATCCACCCACACGCAATTGGAGCCCGGCCATGACCAATACAAGGGCAGCTCCCTGTCCTCGTGGGAGAGACAGGCCAGGAGTGACGAATGCAAACCAGCGAACTATGTAACATGAAGTGATAGGCAGCGTGGAGAGGCCCAGCATGTGCAGCAAGGTAGAGGCGGGGAGGCTGCACTGTAAGTAGGTAGTCAGGGCAGCCCCTGAGAGTGACAGGTAGACCGAGACCAGGAGGGCAGGGGCTTGTCCAAGGGGCCAACTGAGCCTGGGGTGGGGGGTGGCTAGCACAGAGGAGCCCAGGGAGTCCCAGCAGTGCCCTGAAAACACCAGAGGCCATGGAAGGTTTAGGGAGAGCAAATCCCATACAAGCTTTCCATTTCCAGAGGTCATACCGGCTGCTGTGCCGAGAAAAGACTGAGGGAGAGGGCAAAAAGAAGGGACCAGCCAGGAGGCGGCTAGGATGATCCCACAAGAGTCCAAACTGGCTCAGCCAGCACAGGCGCCCCAGACCCGATGTGTCATGAGCCTCACCTGCAGGCGGCTTCTTGGACCACTTGCTGGACGGTAGGCCTTGCCCACGCTCACCACTCCCTGACGAGTCATCATCACCCTCCGACACCTCCTCCTCCTCCTCTTGCGTGTCCACTTCATTCATGAGGTCTTCAATGGCAAACGGGGCCTGCTCCACAATCTTCTCAAAGATGCCTCGAGTGATGTTATGCAAAACCAGGGGACTGAGGGTGGAGCAGAGGCCAGACAGCTGCCTGTCAGCTGGACCCTCACAGAAGCAGCAGCGACTCCTCCTGCCCACGCCCCTCTCACGCAGCCACTTGCTGCTCTGGGACACGGATAACAACCACGCAGTGCAACCCCTCTTCCCTGGAGGGAGAAGCCCTCCCCCGAAGGCAGCAGTCACCCAGAATGACTCAGTGACAAAGAAGAGTCAGGTCTGACCAGGCCACCCACCACTTACTCCTTAGTCCGGGCAGCAATTCTGCAGAAGGGGTCGATAAACCTGAGGTTCTGTTCTGCCGTAAGCTGCAGGGGAAAGGAAACACGAGCTGCCTCAGTCCATCACTCATAAGCAGCCCTGACCAGCTCGGTCACCTGGCCTGACCCAGCCTCACCTCCTGGGCGCCCACTTTGCTCAGCTCCTCCAGGAAGATCTCAAGGAAGTGGCTCTTCACCCCATTGGGGGCCTGGCTGTTGGGGTGCAGGATCTCGGTCGTCAGCAGCTCCAGCAGCTGCTTGACCTGTCTGAGGAAAGAAGAGGTGAGTACGGCAGGCAGCCATGCCCAGCCACAAGCCCATGGCACGCACACTCCCTAAGTTATTAGGGCTGATGGAATATGAGTGCAGGCAGGTGCCACGGTCTGTGAATGTGCCAGCTTTCACATGCACACAGGTTGAGGACAGATGATCCCAGGTCTGTTCTGGAACAAGGAGTCTTGCAACTACAGGTTTATGTGGCCATCACCAGCACCAGAACACACGGCATGGGTTTGGATCTCAGATGCAACAGGTATAAACACTCTCACAGGCCTCCGCTCTGTCCTCAAGATTACAAGTGGAGGCAGACAGTCTCAGCTGAGATGCACTGCTACCACCACCTTGCCTGGCATGCCTCTCTGCTGTCCCTTCTGGGTACCACTCGGGAAGACATGGCAGGAGAGACAGGCCAAGAGAGGAAGGGGCTGAGGCCTGCAAGCCATTCGAGGGCTTCCCAGGTCCTGCTGCACCAAGCACTCGGCCATGACACATGAGTGTCAGAGGCCCTGGATCCTAGGACCAGAACGCCCAGAGACCAGTCAGTCTCCAGCAGTCTAAATGCATCAGAAAACCCTGGGGTGCTTGAGGACACAGATAGATCCCTATACCCTGAATCATAAGATGCTGTTGCATTCTCCAAGCTCCCCAGACAACTGTCATGACAGCAAGATCTGCTAATCACTGGTTACAGGAAGGAAAAGTGATGCTCTGCAGGTACAAGGAAAGGAGACAGGGGTGAGATCAGGGTCAAAACTCAGACAAAGAACCCCAGATGCAAGAGACCTACTCCCATGGCTAGTAATAACACAATCACACACTTAAAAAAAAAAAAAATCAGTAGGGGCTGGATGCTTAGCTCAGTTGGTTAGAGTGTGGTGCTGACAACAGCAAGATCAAGGGTTCAGATCCCGTACTGGCCAGTCACCTCCCTCCCTGAGAAAAACTAGTCACATCTGCAGGAGACTGAGAAAGGCTAGCAAGTACCTGAAACTATCAGCGTTAGTTGCCCAGGGCAACAGGGGAGGCTGCCAACATCCTTGAGATGGTCTCTGCATTAAATCACTACTTATAATGAGGATGAAATTACTTTTGTAATAATAGACAAAAAAAAGTTAACTAAAATAAAATTGTCCCTTTAACATTTTAATTTAGAGTAAGTCATGACATCCCTAAGGGGTAACCCATAATACTAAGTCCTAAAATGAGTAAGAGACTCCTGGCCTCAAAGTTCTCACTGGGAATTCAAGCATAAGAATCACTCAAAACCAGAGGCACTATTGCCCTAAATATAAAATCACCCATAGTAATGTAAACCTAGAGAAATTCAGGAACTACAGTCCAATTCCTGATTTTTTTTTTATAAGAGAAGAAAAAAAGTGGGTTAGGGGCAAAAATTTGTTAGCTTTGTATCCTTTTTTTTGGCAGCTGGCTGGCATGGGGATCTGAACCCTTGACCTTGGTATTATGAGGCTGTGCTGTAACCAACTGAGCTAATCAGCCAGCCCCTGTGAGCTTTGTAATGCTGAAGATAAAAAAGCCATATAGTAACTCGGGCCACAAGCTGAACTCTCTGGTCTAAGAGGAATTCTGACATCTGGGCACCACTTTTATTATTCATATACTTGAAATCAACTCCTTTAACATATACTTTTTAATTACACATCAATTCCAAATACATTTTTCTAAGCCCCTCCCCCACCACAAAAAAGCAAAACAACAAAAGACCACGCAGCAGCGGGACACCGACAGACATGTTCCAGCATCGTCAGTACAATAAAAAAGCCGTCTGCAAAAATGGTCCCCACGCCACTGTGTGAGCGCACACACACACACTAGATAGCTGTGACACTGCTCCATGTAACACTCCAAAACTAGTTATCTGTTGGAGTTAAAATTACTTTTCAATGTTATTCATAAAAGCTTTCTGAGTTCTTTACACTGAGCACGTATTACCCTCATCACTGGAAAAAACTTATAAAGAAATTTAAAATGTCTTAAATTTTCAAAACTTTACAATGACCCCAAACCCCGCTTTGTGTTGTGGAACTCAGACTGCCCCCTGAAGTTTGGATGATTTAGTATTTTTGGAACCGGGACCTATTACTGTTGATAACAGAGCTGAATGTGCCGTGTTTTATAAAAAAGCTTCTCAGCTAGACACCCTTTATCACAAGGACTCAATTCTGACTCACAACGAGAACATGAAAACAAACGCCATCACGTCCAGGAACACATGACAAATCTTAATTTTTTAAAATGCTCTCACTTTAAGTACGATTAAGGCTAACATCTTTTTATGACAAGGAATTAAGAGACATATGTGCCTCCAACCCCCTGGGAAACAAGTCTGAGGGCATACAGCACTCTGAGCCCCCACCTCGCCTGGGAGAGGCCTTCACTGCGGGTACTAACCTTTCTTCCCAGCCCTGCATTCTCACGGCCTTCAAGGACTCGTTCAGCACCATCCGCATGAGCTTTGGCACAAAAGGAGACTCATGTTAGTGAAAGCACAGCCCAGACTTCGCCAACCCCACCCCCCTCCCATACACTGGAGCCTTTTGAAGCCATAGCCTTGGTCACCTCTGCCTGCCCCAAAATACACACAGACCCTTAAGAGCTGCTGACTGGCTGATGCTGGGGGACACGCCACCACGCCCACAGGGCCCTGGGCAGGAGAGCAGAGGCCTCCCCGTGGCTGAGACGCCCCACTGCCCACAAGCAACAGGAAGTCAGGCACACAATAGGTAAGTCCCATCAGCAGCTGTGGTCATAAACTACAACTGGAGCACAGTGGTCCCTGTGTCAGAAGTGAGAACAGAGAGAAGTACAGCTCCTCCAGGGGAAGCAGAGCCCTAGGCAAACTAGGCCAGAAACTCGGCATGTCTTTTCAGACCTCACCCAGCGACTTCTGTCCTCAACAGAGAGAACACAGCTCACTTTCTCCCTCATCTTCTGGGCGGAAAGACCCTCCCACTACACCTCACAACACAAATAAAGCTCAACACCTGCCTCACAGTCCCGCATCCTCCTACAGGGCTCAGAGAATCATCTGTCCAGTTTCCTGCTTCAGGACATGAACACACTCAGGGACCCAAGCCACGGGAAAAGCTTGACAGAGAGCTCATAGACTAAGAGCCTCACTTACAGAGCATACCCCAGCAGCCAGGACACTGTCCTTGAGGACACTGGAGGCCTGTCCCACACGGCTACCAGCAGCATGCCCAAAGGGTCAGCCTTTACGGCAGGGCTGTGCTGCTGCCCTTGGTCACATGAGGGGGATCGTGGGCCTTGAAAAGCCACCAAATTCATCACATAGAAGGACCCAGCAATTACATCCTGGCAAGACGACGGCAGGGCTGTGCTGCTGCCCTTGGTCACATGAGGGGGATCGTGGGCCTTGAAAAGCCACAAAATTCATCACATAGAAGGACCCAGCAATTACATCCTGGCAAGACGGCATGGTGACTTATAAACCTGTATTTTGTTACAGTGTAATGCCTGGCCCTTGGCCCGCTCCCACACCTACCCATATGCATTCAAGTCCTGCCTTCCTTCCTTCTCGGGCTGCATGCTTTGCTCACCAGCTGGCCCTCACTTCAAGAATACCTAACGTATACAGTTGTCCACATAATCCTGGCCCATATCTGAGCTGGACGCTGAGACCCAGGCAGGTCATGATCTATCCTCAGTGAGGCCCAGACATTGCCACATTCAGTGTCCCCACTAGACCACCAACCTCTAGACAGTGACAATGTCCCTTCATCTCAGGAATGCTCCAAAGTCACAGTGTCCACCACCTTCGTAACAAAACTGTGGTTCAACAGGAAGGACAGAAGGGAAGGAGGTAAGAGCAGCAACAGACTAAGTCTGTAAAATTCTGCTTCCCCCTCTATTCCTTAGGGCAAATCAGTAACCTAAATGGGAATGCTACACAGGAAAGGAGAAAGAAAGGGGAGTTCTACACAGCATAATTACAATCATCCTCTGCCCGCACAAATAATCCTGGCAGGCTAGACCCTCCAAGGCAGACACCTCAGGCGCGACCTTGCCTCCTCTGCTGTGCATGTGGGCCATGGCCGCTCTAGAAAGGTCGCAATGGCCTCACTACTGATCCGCACCAAGACGACACCTGGAACTCTTCTTCTCTGAACCGAAAGTTCACAACAGTGTTTTAAGGACTGAAGTCCCTCCCCACCGGCTAAGCCTCAAAGAAACGGGACAGGTATCACAGAACCCTAAGCAAGCACATCCCACACAAGGCTTCAGCCGCACGCCCAGCCACTGGACTCAGAGTCACACTGCCTCAGGGTCACCTCACCATGGAGGCCAGACACTGCCATGATGGCGCTGCTGGGAGACTGCCCCTGAGCCACAGCTGTCTCACCAAGTAGTACTTGTCCAGGCGCAGTCTGTCTATGCCCGGCCACTCACGGTTCATGGTCTGCCAGAATGTCTGAAGGAATACTGGACTCAGAGTCACACTGCCTCAGGGTCACCTCACCATGGAGGCCAGACACTGCCATGACGGCGCTGCTGGGAGACTGCCCCTGAGCCACAGCTGTCTCACCATGTAGTACTTGTCCAGGCGCAGTCTGTCTATGCCCGGCCACTCACGGTTCATGGTCTGCCAGAATGTCTGAAGGAACAGGTGCTCTGGGGAGGAAAAGTCTGACATTAACGCCAGAAAAGAACAGCTGAGGAACGCCAAGCCACTTCGGGCAGTGAGGTGAGGGTACAGGGCAACCTGCTCAGGAAGTCAGTCACATGCAGCCTCAGGGACCTCTCGGCTCAGCCTGCAGAGTTGAGCAGCAGTGCTGTCTCTGGCTCAAAAAAACAGGGCTATGAGGCTCCTCAGAAAGAAAAGAAAAGCATGGCTACAACCTGAACTAGAGTGCCATAACCTCGGAGAAACAGGCACAAAGAAGGGGGAGCAACGCCTTGGGCGAGAGAAGCAGCTGCGACCCACTGCCAGGGTGGTGCGGGGAGGTCTCCCGCACAAGCCCACACCCCACCCCCGAGCCAGGCATAGTTGGACAGGATGTGCACGTCAGGACTTTCAGAGGCTCCCCAAGTAATTCCATCTCAGTCAGGATAAAAAACAGAGAATCAGAAAAATAAACTTTAGGAACTGGACAATGAACAGGTGGAATTCGGTCAAATACCGTGGTAACTCTATACTGGCTCTTTGTTTTAATTTTAAAATGTAAGATACTAGCCTGTTGACTCTTGAACTGAATATATTTGGGGTAAATGAGTTAATGCCTGTGGAACACTTAGAACAGTGTTTCACACACACAAGCACTCAGCAGACACCAGGACTCTCCCCTGCTCTCAGGTATTGCCTGCTCTAGATCTCAGAACACAAACCTTCTGTGCCTGGTGACTTTGACTCTAGGCAATTCTGGTGTTTACAAATTGGCTTAACTATGGCAGCATATACTTACGTGTCTCTGTGGTCTGAAAAGCATGGATGAGCTGGGAAATAGTCCTTCCTAGTTCTTCCTGTGCAGGAAACAACAAAAACGCCCTCAGACCCTGAAGTGCTGTGCTCTTACAGTGACGAGACAAACATGCTCCACTGTCCACTCATGTACTCATCACAGAGAACCCACTTCCATGGGCCTCAGCCCAGGGAACTTGAGGTTTGCAAGTCTCATCCCTGCCACAAAAGGCCTCCTCACAGCTGGGACCAACAGAATGTCACCACAAAGCATGGCAGTCACTGTCCTCCTGACTGAGGCTGTGCCCTGAGCAACAGGGAGTGATGGTCAAAGCAGAGCATGGGAAGGAGCAGCAGGGGGCCTCAGGACACAAAGCCTCCTTACTGGCAGGAGGGGGGCCAACCAGATCCTACCAATAGCTCACTGCCTGCCTGCATCACTATGTCAAGTGTCCTCCAGTGCACTTGCTAAGAAAAAAGAGTCCAAAGCTTCCCTTTGAGACAGTAGTTGAGTAGGCATGGAATACAGCCTGTGTCCCATGTACTCTCACCACCCTGGTGAGAATCACCCTGGTGACTCTGAAGGAGAGTAAACAATTCACACTTTGTGAAACACTGATCTAAAAAGGCTAGCAGGAGAAATCCTTGTCTCAGGAGACTTTGAATCTGTCTCTTGGTTTCTACTATTTTAGCACTCGCTCCGCAACGTGGGACAAACATGAAACAAACAACCCATTGTTCACCCACGCCATGATTACACTGCCTACCACCAGTGTCACTATGGTGCTCAACTCAGCAAAGCACATCAATGTCCTCAGCAACTGTAAGACCTGCTCTCACCAGCCATACAGAACAAAGCACCGAAGCCATAAAACTTCTCCCAGCGTCTTCGGCCTTCTTAAAATGGGGTCAGCCACATGCCCATCTGTCCTCCCACCACTTCTGTCCACCCCAGCTTCTGCTGCCTTCCCATCCACTTACCTGCAGGAGCGGCTTGTCCTGCATCCACATACAATAAAACAGTCCTTTCCATACCTTCAGCAGCTCATCATGAGTGAAACCACCTGCATCAAAACAGGAACATTCAGATTAAACCAATAAACATTTTTGTGCCAGGAAGGAAGCCAGAGAAACACGGCTGCCTGAATTAGACCACAGTCCTATTTACTGTAAAAGCAATGGGGTAGCACAGTCCAGCCTTCCCCTCTCAACCAATCCTTCTAACTCAGGACCTGCTGCGTCTGTGGCTGCAGGGACTCCTCCAGGTAACTGCCACTTCATTCACTCAAACAAAATTGAGTACGTCAAATATTTCCTGAGCAGGATGGTGGCCACAAAGGTCAACTTGTTTGTGATAATTCACCCAGCGTTACACTGAAGGTTTGTGCACTTTTCTGTGTTATACCTCAAACATCAGAAGAAAAATCTAACTCAGTTGTTCAGGCTAGGAAGAGAGGTATATAAAACCACTCAGTTGGCCAATATTTCCGGAGGCTCTGAGTGTCCCGCCCCTGTTCCTGAAGTGTGGTTCGCAGACGTCAGTGTGGATCGGGATCAAGTGGAGGGCTTCCTAAAGCACAGATCGTGGCCCTAATTGAACAAGTCTGGGACCCTAGTATTCGCTTTACTAACAAATATGCAGGCGATGCTGAAGCTGCTGGGGTGGGGGGGGCGCACGCTTTGAGAGCCACTGGTACGAGAAACAGTTCACAGGAAGCATGCTCTCAGCCCTCACGGAGCGTAGCCTCGAGTGAAACTCGGACCACGATCCGCCATGACGGGCCAACACAGGGTGTCCACACAGCGGGCAGCAGGGGATACAGTCTGATGGGGGGTTTCCCAGAGGAAAGGAGGTCTGAGGCGGGAAAGCTAGAGGCTGGAAGGGCAGGGGGTGTCCAGAGGGCCCGCATGTCACCGCACAACGAGGGACAGACAGCTTCAGGAGCCGGGCGCGCGTGGGGACAGAACCGTCGGCCCCACCCGGTCGGCCACGTGGCGGCTCCACGCAGTCAGGAGCTCCCCCTAGGCCGCCGCCGCCCCCGGCCCTCCCTGTGCGGCCCGGCCCGGCCACCCCCGAGCCGCCCCGCGCCCACCTGCGGTACACTGGGTCCTGGCGACA